GGGAGGGAGGGAGGGAGGGAGGGAGGGAGATGAAAGGGAGTTCATGAGCTTTTCTGATCAATAGAGGAGAAGCTGCAGGAGCAGGCAGATTGGCTGCTGATGTTCTGTTTCTTGAGGTCGTTGCTGTTCAGCTGAGGCCTTTGCTGAAAGGTGAACCATACATCTAGCCTGTTGCATAAACCGCAACGGACAGTTATGTCCCTTCCATATTTTTTCAGGCTTCTTATACAGCACCTTGTGCAGTCCTTGAATAGATGAGCTTCACTAGTGTTCCCACCCACCCCAGGGTGGGGTGGTGAGGTCCAAAAGGAGGCACCAAGTTAGGGAAAGAGAAAAGAACAATAGCAATGCTGCATATCAAGGCAAGGTATCGCAGAGAAGTTTCGATGTGGTAGAATCCTCTGCAGAATAGAAAAAATTCCCACGATCACTCCCGAGAGAGGAAGACAAGTTGGGCACGCAAGAGGGGTTCGAAATGAAGCATACGCTTTCACATCATGCAGGGCTTGGTCTAGACGAGGGGTCTGCGCTGGGGTCTAGCTCCGATATATATCTGCGATTCTGCATAAGGAGGGTAGACCCACATGATGGACAAGTTCCAGTTGCGGGACTGGCGGAAGCTATCAAGAGAAGTTTTGACTGGGCCCAGTCACGAAGACCTGCAGAAGATTGGGCACACTCACAGGGGAAGGCAAGTTCCAGTTCCAAACAGAAAGACAAGTTCCAGTTCCAAACAGAAAGACAAGTCCCAGTTCCACAGGCATGGAAAGTCAAGTTCCAGTTCCACATACATGGAAAGACCAGTCCCAGCTCCACATGCAACAGGAGTTCCGGTCCCACAGGAAAAGAGAAGCTCCGGTTCCAGTCCTACATGAAAAAGAGCTCCAGTTCCAGTCCCACTCCCACATGGAAAAGACAGGCTCCAGGTCCAGTCCCACATGAAAAGACAAGCTTCAGTTCCAGTCCCACATAAAAAGACAAGCTCCAGTTCCAGTCCCACATGAAACAATAAGCACCAGTTCCAGTCCGACATGAAAAGACAAGTTCCAGTTCCACATGCATGCAAGGACAAGTTCCAGTTCCAGTTCCAGTTCCAGATGCGTGGAAGGACAAGTTCCAGTCCCACATGAAAGGACAAGTTCTGCATGGAGGTGGCGGTCCCATCCATGTGTTGGTTGGGAGAGCCTCGGCTACAACATGAGGGGCGAGTTTGGGACGAGTCCCACACGAGGAGCTGTTTTGGGACTAATTGGGCATGTGGGCCCGGTTTGGGATGCAGTTCCAGATGTTGTGGGATGAGGTGGGACTTTCAAATACCCTAACTCCACATACTCTCTCGTTTTGCACAATTGTCACACAGCGGATTAAGTCACACGCATGGAAAAGGAATCGCTGAGGGCGTACTCACACTACATGTACTAGCTCTCTCGTAAATGTATCTGACAGCATTTATGGAGGACCTGAATGTATCTGACCACAATCACGTCCATAAACAAATAAATAAAAGTCTGAACGTCCATAAAAAAAAAATAAAAAAATAAAAAGTCTTGAGTATGCCCCACATGTCGGTAAGGATATTCTCGACCTTTTTGTCCTGCTTTCCCTTTTTTTTTTTTCTTTTTTTTTTTAATCTTCCCTGCAAACCACCAGTCTGTTCCCCCCCGGGTACCTTGCTTGTTCCAACGTGCTGGTGTGAATGCACGCCACACAATTATTGCGATTTGCATCGAGTGTAGGGAAAAGGAGAGTACAGAAGGAGCGAGGCCAGCGCTATGCGTCCATGAACAGAAAGATCAGGATTCAGGAGTACTGCTTCTTCACAGGCGAGGTCGTAACCACGTATAAAGAATAACAACAGAGACTCTGAGACTCCCATGGTTATGCTCACAGCTCCAAATGCGCACATTCCCGCACCTGGACACGTTTCGCCTGTGGCTGCGCACCAGGACTTGTGAAGGGAAGGGGGGGGCCCTCATGAGCGAAGAGGGCTGTTCGATCTTGCCACACTCCCGTGTCCACCAGACTGTCCAACCAGAGCGAAGAGGGCCGTTCAGCCTTGCCCTCGTGAGTTATAACACGTACTACGTGCAGGTTCTTCACCCATCCGAGTGTGCATCTACTGGAGGGGGGGAAAGGCTGCTGGTGCCGGGCAAGCTTGTGCCTGCGGCGCTTGGGTTTTTAAGGAAGGTCTGCTGCTGCCGGGCAAGCTTGTGCCGAGGCGCTTGGGTTTTTAAGGAAGGTCTGCTGGTGCCGGGCAAGCTTGGGTTTTTAAGGCCCGGGCAGCAACGAACATCGGGAAAGAGAGGCTCCGAAGGACTTACGATTGAACTTATCCTTTTTTTCCCTTTCCATTCCTTTTTTTTTTTTTTTTTTGCTTTGGGCCAAAACCAGTCGGGTCTATTATGAGGAGTGGTATGAGCAGCTCTCCTTAGTAGCCGTCCCAGTTGGCTCCGATCTATCGTTGGGGGGGGGGGACACTCACCTGCTGGAAACCGGGTCTAGCATCCCTTAGATTTGTCCTTTACAATCGTGATGATTTGTCGAGTGTCTTTTTTTTCTGGTCGGCCCTTTTTTGTTTTTTCCTTTTTTTTCTTTTTTTAATCCATAGGAAAGACGTCGGCCAATGTTAACTCTGTTTTTTTAGTACTCATTCATGCGGAAGATCGCGGGAGGGTTCCCATTGTCCCATTGTTTCAGAATCTCTGGTTTGAGCTCAATGCAGTAAACCTGGCAAATGTACCAGGCTGTCCGAAGCTTCTGGAACTTCAAGGCTCTGGTTCAAGGCACAAAGTCCCAAGGGCATGGTCCCAGGAGCATGGTCCCAAGGGCATGGTCCCAGAAGCATGGTCCCAGGAGCATGGTCCCAGGAACACGGATCCGGCATCATCATCCCAAGCGCACGGCCGCAGAAGGTCCAGAAGCAGCACACCAGATTCTGCATATCTGGCCGTTCATCCTTGTCGTAGAGTGCCCGTGCCCGTGCAGCAGAACAAAGACTGCAGGCGATTGGGATATCTCGACCCAGGTAGTGTGCTTCAGCTTGCTATTTGTCTGTCTGTGCTCAAGTTTAAGTTTTAAGGATGACTGCGGTTCGGGACCCTCGAGAGGGAATTATTGGTGTCTTTTTTTGAAAGTTAAGAACTTGAGAGGTGTGTTTCTTCCTCTAATAAAGTTAATTTGTATCTCTCTTCTCCTCTGTCTACCACACTACGGACTGTGAAAAAAAAAAAAAAAAAAATGTTAAGTTGCTTTTTCTCCATGGTTTTCTGTTCCTCCTACCCTACACCAGGTAGTTATGATCCCGCGGCGACCGACCGATACCTTTGGTCGGGTCTTTTGCCAGCTTTGCTCTGTACCTCGTGTTATCTTTTCTGATACAAGTTTCACCCTCTCGGATTACTACTACTACCGCCACTTCTCTCTCTCTCTCTCTCTCTCTCTCTCTCTCTCTCTCTCTCTCTCTCTCTCTCTCTCTCTCTCTCTCTCTCTCTC